GCAGTCTACCAAAACATCCTCAAGGCCCGTCTGTGGGAGCGGTTCGGCAACGAGCCCGGTGCCGCGGATGAGATCCACCGAATCCGGGATGACCTCGACGAGCTCAAGCATCTTCCCGAGGGGTGGTATGATGGGGTTATGGCCTCCTTCATGGAAGCTTTCAGGGGCGTGTGGTTGACTTTGCTGGGCATGTCCATCCTGGCGCTCATCTGTGTTTCTATGATGCGACAGCATACGCTGCACTCCAATCTTGAGAGACGGTAAGCAAAACTTGGTTAGAGGCGATTTAGGATGGATCTATGAAATGACAAAAAGGAGTGAATAGTTTAGATTGGATACCAAAAGGTGGATATGGAGACAATAGAGGGGTGACTGAACAATATCAAGATTAGGCAGTAGTTAGGCATTAGCATTCACAAGATTTCATTAACAATACATTTTAAAGCTCATTACCACTGCATGCTTTCTACTGAGCCTCTCTCATATCTTGATTGGATTTATCATTGGATTCTTTTTGTCCTATCGCGACAACGTCATGATGCAGCTTTGGCAGTGCATTGCCAGTGCAAGCTAACATCGTCCATAACAACCACAACTGCACGGGAAAAAATGTCAACAACAACAAATCTTGATGGGTAACACCTTCCTCGAGAATTCAAAAATCTCCATGGTCTAAACATAGCCACCGCAACTTCCGCATTGCGCTTGCACATTGACCCAAGGTAAGTTTCCATCACGAGACAACATCTTGACTCATTAACATCACTCATCCATACCATCTACGGTATTAGTACTGACAGTCATAACTATGTCTTCAAGCCCTAGATCTAGATCTGAGCCGGCCCCGACGGACAAGGTCTTACCAATGAGAGTGATGCAGCAGCCATCCTCTCCCACCATGGACGAGCGGGATGAGTCTATGCAAGACGCCCAGCCATCTGAATCCAGCATGGACACGACCAACGAAGCTAAGCGGGACGAAGAGAGTCTCCTTGATGCGGATGGGTCTCCCTGGGAAGACATCGGCCCAGACCTAAAGTCTGATGACGGCGATGAAAACACAGACGACACCAACAGCCACACCACCGACCCCGAGGTCATCTCCATGGACCTTACACCCATTGAGAACAACATGCCACGGGACTACATCGACATTGCCGTCGCCTTCCCCTGTCCCTGTGTCAGCTACTTTGCGGTCCAGCGGATCGAGACCGAACGCGAGACATTCAGAGCCTTTTATCAGGCCCTTCAGCGGTGGCCTTTCCTGGCGGGTACCATCAAGGTTGTCAAAGGGGAGCATGGAGACAAGCTCACCCTCGTGCACTCGCGAGGTCTGACCAGGGACATTGTAAAGCGCCTCTACAAGCTTGAACTTCCCAGCGAGGACAGCTGTAAGGAGGCCATCTGCTCACCCCACGACGCTTCCTTGAGTTGCTTTCGAAGCGACTGCTTCTTTGACCATGGTCAAGCTGTCGACGCCGATGGCTTCCCCCCTGTGACGCTTCAGATCAACTTCAAGGACGGCATGTTGGTGTTGGGCTTCTCTCTCAGCAGAGTTCTGTTTGATGGACTGGCCATCAACAACTTTCTCCGACAGTATCTGAGAAACACGGCCCGCTACAGGACCACACACCCAGGTTTGTGATTCCGGATACGGACTTGCGTCGCTAGAGAGCTAATGCGTGACAACAAGTGACCACGCGAGACATGCCTGACACAATCGGCCCCGGTCCAAACAATGGATATAACCTCCCATTCTGGGAATGGGACCAAAACTGCACCCCCGAGCTGCCGACTCCTCGCAAGAACCTGATGGTCCATACGTTCTACCTCAAGGCTAGGGACATCAACCGTCTCCGAGAGAAGATTCGAGAGCACGACGCTGATTCTCAGGCTTCTTGTCTGCCCTCAATTCAAGACTGTGTCTTTGCACTCTTTTGGCTGACCATCATGCGCGCACGCTGTGAGGCTGGGATGCTTATACCTAGTGACGCTGCTTCTGTCCACGTCATGAAGCCTGGTTTCTCCAAGAAACCTCACCCTTGGGAGTACATTGGCAACAGTACTGTTGATGCCGTCGCGACCTGCCATGTCACAGACTTGGCTGGCCCCTTTGTGACATGGAGTGACCATGACGCCAAAGTCACTGATCATAGACGACTGGCATACGCCGCCCAGCTCATCAACACAGCCCAGCAAAAGATTGACAACAGATACATGAAGAAGCTCTACGGTCTGAAGCAAGCCATCAGTCCTGTCGAGGATAAGCTCGCGAGTGGCCGTGCCCTCCGACGCGCCACCACCTGTGTCTGCTTCGAGGATTGGACGGGCTACGCTTCCTATTGCGAGGCCGAACTCCCCTTCATCGCCGACTCCCAGCCATCGATTTTTGCTTGTCCGGATCAGCTCAAGGAGGGGACTGTGATTCTTCTCCCTCGCGAGGACAAGACCAGTGGACCAGAGGACTGGCCTATTTGTGTCTGTCTCACAAAAGACGCTATGGACGTGTTGGAGGGTGTCTTGTTTGCTGAGGAGTGGTTGCGCGATGATGACGAGGATGATGAGGATGATGAGCCCCTACAGAAGCCTAAGATCAAGGTGAAGCCTCGAGTGCTTATGCCTAATGTGAAGCCTGGCGAGGGCAAATTCAAGTTGGAGTATTAACTCCTCTCACGTGTACCGAGTTGAGGAGAAGATGTCCAGTCGACAGGCATGAAAATGATCATCAAGGTTCAGGCCCAGTGCCAAGAAGAGTGTATCTAGGTCCAGCTACGGATGGCATGGGAAAAGACTTTCCGTTTGTCGAATCATATCCTCGAGACTGAGCTGTGTAACGTTGACCCTCTGTGCCAAGCCCGTGTCGAACGTTTTGAGAAGTAAGCTTTGTCTTGTCCGAGGCGCTTTGCCGAATAGAGACGTTTTGTCACGCAAAGAGTGAGGATGTGCTCATGGATGTAGCGGATGCGGGAAAGAGAGCATCTGCTGGATTTGGATACCAGTTCATCTCTCCCTTTTGACAAGAAGCCTCCATTCCTGGCGTTTATCTTGACGTGACTGTATGCAGGTGGACACTTGTGCTGGACGGACATTTTGATCTAGATGAAACACCCCTTAAGAGCTTGGTCATCCACAAAGACCGCTACCATGGGGATTTGACGGGGTTAATGAGAAACCCGTAGGGCAGAGCTCACGACGGCGAGGCCGAAAGGGCTGAAAGTCGGCCGCCCTGCTAACGATAGCTGCCGCGTGCTATCACCTTAGTTGTGGGGGGAGTTGACGGGAGCTTCGAGCCCCCGGGGAACCAAGGCGGGGACCATACTAGCCTGCGGCAGCCTGCCGAGAGTTAGGGCGATGCATATAACGAGGTTGTCGAAATGGCAGAGGCGTGTGTGTGACAACGAGGTCTAGATCGTTGGATGGCTGCCGGTTGTCTGAGACACCCTCAACGAGGAGGCCAGACGGGAACGCCACGCGGGCCGCATTCGCTTGTCATGGGGTGTAGTGGGTGTAGAGCATGCTACGGAAGAGTTCCGCCTTGTGATTCTGTGTTGTGATCTGCACGGTGGCTGGTAGAGTGGCCTGGGGTGTGCTCTTTGGCTGTAAGCTGGCAATTATGCAACAGCACTTGTACGAGCACAGATCACCGCTTGTTGGATATTCTCCGATTGCCCGTGATGATGGCGGGTGGTGGCGAGTCGGACTGCCGGTATCACTCGTTGTTCATCGTGTTATAACTTGAGGTAATAGATGAGGTGAGTTGTTGAACTAGTTGTGATGTGCTGACGATCGGCTGTGCCTCTCCCCTCTCCTGTGGCGGAATCACGACATCTGCCATACCTGATGTGCCGTAACAACGAGATATCCAAATCCGTAACGTAAAACGCAAAAGGATATCGGGGTGATATCCATCCGTCGCCACGTAGAGACGCCCCTCCGTAACAGGACCGTTTGGGGACATGTTGAACCTTCCTGCCAAGGCCATGCTTTAGGGCTAGTAGGCAGGACGCTTATGCAAGCCATCGGAAAATTGACAAGGGAGCTATGACCTCGAGGGGATTAACATGGCCGTGCTTAGATGCCCTTGGTCGAGGTAGCTATTAGCTTCCGATCGAGTATGGAGGGGCGTTGGTGTGGGAGGGCAGCGGCAGCTAGGCAGGCGGGCAGGCGGGCAGGCGGGCAGGCGGGCAGGCGGGCAGGCAGTCCTATCGTCCAAGGTTTCTTTCGCATTAGCAGAGACAACTGCATGTGGCAAGTCGTTGGAAGATCCTTCCTCGTATAATGCTCAGACGGGGCAAGGTTGTTGAGAGAATGCCATTGTTGGTGACAAGAGACCACATGGTGATCCTTTGAGAAGGTGATCCAGGGTCCTGAACTGAGGAGACATGTTTCTGGTTTCCCAAAGCAAACATTCGGCGAGCAACATCTGACTGTCGAGACGTCTTGGGACTGAGTCTGAGACATGAAAGCGCCCAGATCCACTTGCTCCCGTGATGCTCTGTAATCAACTCCCCGGAGCTGGCAATCTGTGAGAACCCCGAGTGGTCTGTGTGATATGTCCGAATGCCATTGCAGAGTTCCGCCATGAACGGTATCTCAAAGACACCAGCCAGACAAGGTTTCATCATCTTGGCAGAGCGCCAGCCCCAGATCCAGATCTGTCACATCACGGGCTGGGCGATGGACGAGGCTAGCAAACGTTTGGAAGACCCGCTCTGCATGCTTTTGGACTGAAGCAGGTCCCCGACGTGAGCCAAGCGGCCGACCTGGCTTTCAAGAGGCTGCAGGTCTGGATGTTGATGGGTCACGTCGACCGGGACACGATGGAGCCCATGACCCGGATATGGGCTGTCGGATAGAGTTGTATGCAGGGGGAATCTGCAAGGGTCTCGGTAATCGTGATTTGCTTGCCGTTTGCCGTGCCTGGATGTAGATATTAATCGTAGATCCTGTCTCATTTTGATCTTTCTGTCTCACTCCAAACAGCAACAACCGCAAACACAATGAAGCACATTCTCATCCTTGGCACTCTTTGGACAGCACAGACTGTCGCTCAGCGATACACTTATACGACTCAGACGATGACAGAATGTTTCAGTTCAACACAGGCCGACTTTGGCCCTGCAGCTCCCACACAAGGTCCTGACAAGTACTGGACCGTCGAGATGCCCGAGTGTCACGACTGCAACTGTCCTGACTGCGCATACACAAACACATACACCACGACGCTTGACGTCTTTTCTCCAAAGGGACTGGCCAAGTACCCTTATGAGATCAAAGAGATCTATCGGGGAATGTCCACGATGCCTGCGGATGCGACCCCGACTTCGATGCCATATGGCTTCACTTCGGCTGTCGAGACTTGCAACATCTGTGGCGATGAGCCCATAGTTGCAACCATGACCTATCCTCGGGGCGACAGCCCATACCGAGAGAATGTCCCCGCAGCCACGGGTGTTGTGGAAACCAAGTTCGAGCGACCCTCAACATTGAGAACCAAGGTCGTTGGCGAGGAGCCTACTGCAACTCCTTCAGGAGATGGTCAGGACGACGACGAGACTCAGCTCGAGAACACTCTCGTTCACCACAAGGCCATCGCTGTCCATGGGGCTGACCCTGATGACTTTTCCGACTTTGGCATCGGCGACGGCACCATCTACGATGATGAAGAGGAAAAGGATGATCAAGATTCAACACCAACAATAGAGAAGCTCAACAACTTCCACGAGCTGGAAGAACCCGCAGCAGCACCCTCAAAGGAGAAGGATAATGCGGCAGGCAGCATACAACCGCCAGCCAAGGCTGCATTGGCACTCCTTCTGCCACTAGCATTCATAATATGATGTGGCATATAAGACACCAAAAAAAAAAGAAGAGAAAAACACCAAAAAACAACAACAGAAGAATGCATTCAGCGACTGGCGTTGCATATCGCATTGATCATTTTGGAGGATTCCTATGTCTGGTAGTCATGATATCCACGGCCTGCTGTCCCTTAAGAGGCGCAGAAGAGTGAAGGAGAGAAATCCAGTGCCCGGGTGCACAGCATTATCAGGGGTTCAACACGGCCCGCTTGGGGTCTCGGGAAGGAGGACGGTAGAGTAATCACACCACTTAGATAGATACCCCTTAATAAAGAACATCTCAAAGGAGAGCAAACAGTATGCTGATGCCAGTTCCCGTGTTTGTGATGGAGTCTTCCCTTTGTTCGATAGTTGAAGGGATCTCCAAGGAGTTTGGAGGGGCCAAACAAGGGAGGGAACCGATTGGAAAGTGTGGCGTATGCACAAGATCGCAACAGAGTGGCCACCTTGAGGCTATTCACAGATCGAACCGAAGGCGGAGCGTAAGCCGGAGGTGATCAGCGGGGACAGATATGCTGGGACCCTTGGCATGTAGAGTGTTTCAAAGTCAGATTGGGGACGAACCCCTTTGATTTCGCGTCTGTCGCAGTTTTCTGACAATGATCCACGGATGGCATAGTAGTGAGAATGCAGTTCGATTGATTCCAAAGCCAAGAGATAATCATCCATGTCGTAATCGTCGAGTGAATCGGGCGCAGTTGGGATGTGATTATGGCGATGAGGTTGTAAGTGGATCCTCACGGACAAGGGCAGGATGATAGAAAATTTGGTGCCTGAAAAGCAAGGCGTAGACGCTACCCCATCTGGGGAATTCCGTCTCGTCTCCGATCAAGCTTAACCATCCCTATCGCTCACTCGCTACCAATCCCTTAAAATAAATAGACCAAGGGTCGATGTTGATAATCATTTAAGAGCCGCCAGAACCAATTGTCTAAGGGGGCTTCTATTTATCGAACAGAATCTTCCCTGCAATACGGCCTTGTACATGCGGCCATCCATAGACTCATTGTGTTGTCATGTTTTTGTTGACCACCCGGACCTCCGCATCTCCCGGAAGACGGCAACGTCATTGCATCTTACTCAGTGCGCGGCAACCCAAACCAGCCGCACTTGCTGACGAAGGCGCGAATAACATTAGGATCCCAGATGTGACCTTGTGGGAAAAACGGGATTCAGTGCATGGATCTGCCGCTCAGCTGAAGGAATAGATGCCACGTGATTGGTCTGGGATGCTCCCTTCTGTGGCCCCCTTCTTTTCTCCAGTGGCGCAGCAACAACCCGTCAAACGTCGTGGCTCTGCTTCACAGCGGGGAAGAGAGTGCCTTGGCATAGAAGTGCCTTAGCAGAATGCCCCGGGCGAGAAAGTCGTGGAGGCTCAGCAAGGCACTTCATTGATAGAGGAGGGTTCTGGGGGAGATTGCGCCCCTGAGGCTAACTCCCTGGAGGGCCATCGTTAACCTTTTGTGACCCGGACGGGAAGCAAGCGCTGTTAGTGCAAGGACCCGGGGACCCTAGGACGGCGTTCAAAGCCACAGTCAGAGTCCCGTCTAGTTCTGTGCGTGCGGCTCTTGTGGCTCCGGCAACGCGTGACCAGCCAATCCTCTGGACGGAGGGAGTGGTCTGGGCTGGGTCTGGCGGCGTCATGGGAGGTGTGCCGCTGGCCAGGGAACCTGTTTCGTCAGGGTTTCCAGCGTCAGTCAGTCGTCGGGGCTTACACTGCACTGCGGTCGTTGAAACTCTGTTGTCCGACTCGAATCAGAACACAGCCCAACACACACGACACCTTCTTCTTCCTCTTCTCTCGTCCCTAATAAACAAATCCTCCTCCTGTTTTATTCTCGCGACGACCTTGACGCTCTTTTCTGCCGTCCTATCTAGCGAGCTTTGTTCTTTGGCGATTGATTACGAACCCCCTAGATACGATACATCCATCTGCGCTAGCGTTTGCGACGACCGTCAGCTTAAGCCAGCGAACAAACGACGACGGCCACCCACAGCCTGATATCTGCACCAAAGTCCCGGCGCTTCGAGCATCAGCTCGATCATAAAAACCTCGCCTTTCGATAATCACAACCGTCTCCTCCATCCTCATCGAACCTCACAGCAGCCATGGCCATCAACTTCGACCCCGATATCGTACCCAATCTGAAGCTTGGTCTTCACTCCTTCCAGGTCATCTTCTCCTTTGTCGCATGGTGTTTGCAGATTGGTGTGTTCAACGCCAAAGACGCCAAGGTGACTGGAAAGAATGGATGGACCTTTGCGGTGGTGAGTTTTGGCTTCTCCGGTCGATCCATTGCACCGAGCTGACCTGGTCTTGTAGTGCTTTCTCTCGGTGCCAGCCTGGATTTTCCTCATCATGACCCCCCGATGGGAACGCACTCGCCGGTTCGCCCAGCCGCATGCCATGCTGGCTGTCGACGCTCTCTTCACCGTCATGTGGCTGTCAGCATTTGCTACTCAGGCTTCCTACAACGCTGAGGGTTCTTGTGGCAAGGCTTGCGGCATAAGCAAGGGTGTTGTTGGTCTTGGCGTCTTGACCACGTACGTCTCCTAGCAGTCAGACTGCGGTGTCCGTAAACAATCCGTGACCTGATCGCTAACCTCTCTGCAGTCTTCTCTTTGCCGCCACAACCTTTGTCTCGGCCTTTACCCTCAACTATTACCAGAACAACAACGTTCTGCCTGGCTACGACAACCGCCAGATCCGGGGCGGAGACAACATCGACCCCGACAAGGCCGCCTTCTCCATGGCACCCCACGATGACGAGGCCTACGAGCGGGTCAACATGGAGGACAACGAGCCCACAGGCAACCCCTACGGCGGATACAACGGGAGCTACAACAGCACCACCCGCTATGGTGACAACAACACCAACCCTTACAATGCTGAGGATGAGGATCCTGCCCGCTACGGCTCCACGCCAGGCCGGACCAACACCCTCTTTGACAACGACACCGAGTACCACTCAAGCGGCGCTCAATATGGCAGCAACCCTACAAGCGGCGGTTACGACGATCACCCTGCCCACTTCCCAGCCGGCAACTATGACCGAACACACTAAGGTTCCACTGAGGACCTTGTAAATGAGACAAGAAAGGAATATAGATTGGCTCTTTTATCTGCACATGGTGTTTTGTTTTGCTTGGGGCCGAGAGGAACGAACATTGACTCTTTTTTGGAAATGTCTTGCGTACGCGCAAGCCGGGCGGCTGGGGGGAAACTGGGAAATATTTTTGTGTTGTACGGTAGATGAAACGTCTCTTGGCTTTTTGTTGACACGAGGTGTTTACGGCGTCATGAATTGCTCAGGAGAGACACACATAACATGTGCACACTCTACGGAGATTTAGGGGGTGTCAAATCTTGGGATGCATTTGCGAGAGATGGAATATTTTGCGTCGCACCATTCAGGTGCTTTTTTTTGCAGATACTCTGTTATTGAACAGTTTGGACAAGAAAAGTTCAGTTGTATGTTGTTCTTGTAAATTGAGAACCGAGTGTACCTCGTAGCCCAACTCCCAACGCCATTTATTCTTTCTAGGAACCTAAGCCCATTTTGATGCTCCAAATATTTGATTGTCTCTTTCGTCTCCTATGCCTTGTTCAACTTGCGAATTCGCTTGGCGATATCGGCCGCCGTCTGCTGCATGGGGTTCAACTTTTTGTCCTTGGCCATGGCCGCCGTGTCGTCGCCGTACTTGGCCACCAGCTTGTCCAACCACTCCTTCTCACGACTGCTCTGATGTCGGGGCTTCTTCTCCACGGGGGCCCTGCTCTCTTCGATCAGAGACTTGACAACATCGGTAGCATCAGCACCGTCCTCAATGCCACCCCACTCCTCGGTGGGTTCCTCGTCGTCACTGTCACGGTCGAGGTCGTTCAGAGGATCGTTGAGAGGGTTGGGCTTCGCATGACCCAGGATTCGAACAATCTTTCCGTCGGCGTCGCGCTCGACTCGTGCCTCGGAGACGATGGCGTTCTCAACGGTTGCGATGCCGAAGGGGTCTTTGGAAGAGGTGCGCGTCGTCGTAGCACCGAGGAGCTTCTCTGTACCGCCGGTGGGGGCCTTGAGGCGGGCTAGAAGACCGAGACGTCGGTAGTTTTGTGCCAGAGTCTCATTCTTGTTCCTGCAAGAGTCATGTTAGTACTCAAATCTATATCAAGAGTTGTCGGAAGAGTGGCTGGGGCGCACCAGTTCTTTGCGATGGCGTCGTTGCCGCGGGGGTTAAGGATCTTCTTGGTCCTGTTAGACTGGCGAACGGGTTGGCGACCCGATCTGCGCTTCTTCTTTTGGAGTTCGCGACCCATTGTGACGAGAGAATTGGTTGATGGTTGGGGATTTGTGTCTGTAGGAGTGTAGATGGATAACCTGCGACAAGACGTTGATGTTGCCGCCAAAATTTCTGATGGCGATAAGATAAGGCGGGTGCGCTAGGCTGGAATAGGTTCCAGGGTTGGGGTTAGCAGAGCTTCCGTGCCGCAACGAAGCTTCATCAAGTTCTGGTAGCCTCCCCCATATACATCAATCATCATAATTGAACTTTACAAGATGAAAGTGGAAATTCAAGTGTTCTAAGTGAGAGGTTGGCTCCCTGAGTACCAAGAGCCTGTGCCTGTACCCCGGGCCCTTTCACGATGGACGAAGCAGAGCTGCTTGGATGTTGAACTGTGGCAATCTTACGGGCCAAGAGCTTTGGGTTGCTATATTGATTATGAAGCTTCCGTGGATGTCGCAAGGGGACATCATGCGTATCATAGGTAGTGCCATCTTCGTAGTTATTCTTGACAGCTTACAAACGTAGAAACAGTAGCCTCACCACAACCTTTCACGTTCCATACTGAAATCATCAAGTGCCTTGAATGCGACATCCTTGCTACGGCAGCAACTCGTGAGGTATCGGGCGCAACAAGGCTTCAAACTTTATAAAGAATTCTCCTATACAGCACTCTTCCCACCAGGAGCCAGATAGGCTGGTTTTTGTGACCTCCACCACCAACATCGCCCCAACAGTGACCAGCTAGCACCTGCAATGTGATGCTATTTGAAGCCATACCCGTAGTAACACAAGGTAGGTTTTTGATGTAGTTAAGCCTACTTTTATCTTAGTGAACAGTTTGTGTCTTTTGTGACGTCGGTTTCGTAGGCCAGGAAGTTTGGATACTGGATATCGTACGTATCATATGATACAGAGCAAGTGATGGTGTCAAGCTCTTGATATAACGGTTGAATGCTGTGCACTGATCGGGAACTGAGAACCGATATCAAGGAAGACTGACACAAGACCTAGAACTTGATCCCAGCATATTGTCTGTCCCGATTTGCTCTTCCGGTGGAAGAAATATAATTTCATCAAGAAAAGTGAAAACTGGAAGAAAAACAGCTGAAAGCGATAGGGGCGGTTCTTGGTGCGAATCATTTGGCTTTCGGCATTGGGCGAGTATATAACATAGTGACACCAGGCTCTCACTGTAGTTGCTTGATAACACGCAGGTTTCGGTTCTTTATTTGTCCATTGACGATGAGATCCTGACCCATCGATCTAAACCTTCAGTCTCTTTTATGCAGTCCGCGGGCCGTATCGTATTATTGGTTCAGGTACGCTCGGGTCATTTAGGCGACAAGGCACCGAGTATCCAGTTTCAGAAAGCTTGTTTCGAGTGGTGATCCAAAAGCGCAACGATGCAGCCATCGTAATGCGTAGGAACAACTAGTCGAACTGGAAACCAAAGAAAAGGGAGCGCTGATGGCGCGGTATCTGGCCCTCGCTTCCAGTAGCTCTTCTGGATGAAAGGGCAAGGCCAATGTATGCCATTATATATAGGAGAAATCATCGAGTGCCTGCGTATCTTCGTTGGGAGGATTGCGTTTAGGGCGATCCTTCCTGGACACCTGCAGCGGCTGGCAGCAGGGTTTAGCTCCTCGTTAGCTTTGCTCATATCAGACAAAAGTCAGGTAGCTTACCTCTCAAACATTGACTTCCTCCACTGCTGTAGGGGTGTCATGTCTGTCCCACCTCCATCATCTTCCAAACCAACCCAGGCTCTTTTCTATATACGCCTTTGCATCTGCCTTCGGATCGATCTTCATAAGGGATCCATGATGACATCGGAGATTTGCCGTAGATTTCCGTCCGGTATCCCAAACGCTTCCAGGATACGCCCGCCCCCTCTCTTTATTATGCTCTCGTCCGTCTGGACTTCAGACTCCACACGCCCTGCCTCGCGTTGAGCTTTGTAAAGCGCGATGCCCAGGTGAATCGAATTCCATGGATAGTTGCTACTCTGGGCTGATTTCATGTATGGTTTCTTCCATCTCCCGTGTGAATCACCCGGGAGTAGCCAGAAGCCAGTCACGAAGTTGGCGAGATGCGCCCTGTATATAGAAGAAGATATCCGCGTAGATATGTTGTCGGAGAGTGCCTTTTCGAGAGTAAAACGCACCGTTCGCCAACGCTGCAGTAGAGTAGTCTGTCTCCAACAACCGCTGACAGGGAACTTGTGAAGAACGGCCATCCATCTCGCCGTTTTGTATATATAGATCGCATCTCGTATCCTTGATCTTTGGGACCTGAAGATCCCGCTCACTGTATCGACTATGGGCGCTCTTCCTGGGATCGCATGTATAGGAGATCTTTGCCTGCTTTGATCACTCCATTGAGCTGTGAAGTTCCACCTGCAAGAGCTCGCCTACAACAGCAGTCGACCTCGTCTTGTCTAAATTAGCAATAGAACATCGGGTTAACTTGCGATGCATACCGATAGAAACCCGAGTGTTAGGGCCTGGGGTTTTACTGGCTTTGATCCTGAGGCTCGAGGCAAGTGTCTAATGTCAAGGTCGCTTGCTTGCTGTATTTATAACACCTTTGTAGCGTCTCATCAGATCAAACTTTGTAATAAACGTTCAGCAGAACACTGCTGAGAGCATTCAGGTAAAGGGAGGCGGCCAAAAGCCAAATAATAGCTTCATCTGGCCTGGCTGCTATACATAGGAGATCCTATCCAATGATAGGTACGAGAACCTCGAAGGCCACTCGTAGCACTGAGGGTAATATCAAGTGATGTGCTGATCAGCACTGAAGTCCTACATCTCGAGGGGCATTCCTGAGAAGCGCTTGGGACTCTCGTTTCGCTTCTGGACAGAAGCGGGCAACGCCAAAGTTTGCCGGTGGAAGAATCCAGTCGGGGTACTGGCGACTGTTCCTGTTCCTGAAGGTGTGATGGGGCTCGATGATCTGCTCTCTGGAGTCTTTGAGGTTGGTGCTATAGTTGTCGCAGCGATCATTGAGTCCACCCCCTTTGTAACCCCTTCGGGTATGGTGAGCGGGAATCTTTCCACGGCTCGGGAGAGCATCCAGGCGAAAGAGAGAAGGAGACACAACAGCAACTCCACGACGCTTATTATATATAGCTTGTGAAATATATACCGGTTTCTGTTCATCTGAGAGGGTTACTGCTCGTGGTCAGAGAAGATGGGCAAGACGAGAGAGAGGGCTGCGAATTATATAGAAGTGGTGCTTGTTGTTTGCCCACTCTTCTATGCGGACAGCCCAAGCATTGCTACTTGCCAACCCTCAACAAGCACAGCATCCATGACAAATGAAGGAAATCGGAATGAATGGAAGAGACGTTTGGTATCCATACCAACTTGGCTGGGAGTTTGGCACACCTTCTTTGCTAAAGGATCGAGCAAAGAATGAGAAGACTACCCCAAGAGCTCTGGGGTAGGTTGGATTATTTTCCTACTACTTCAGGGCTCTTCTCAAGTACAATAATCAATAACTTGGTCAGGCGTGTTTGTTCAGAGAGTTGGCCTCAGGCACTCAGTAGTGGTCAGTGAATCACTGCCACTGCACAAACACCTGCCAGCTACCGACGGCTGCCAACTTAATCTAACATCCCCCTCTCATCTCACACTTCCCTTCTTTCTTCACTCATCACGACACAACACAACAAAACAAAACAAAACAAAACAACAAACATCTCTTCATCTCCGAGCGATCCAACACCATGTGGGATTTCCTCAATTCCCTTCTTAAGGCCATCCTTGAGTTCATCTACTGGCTTGTCTTTGTCAAGCTTACAAACTGGGAGAAGAACCGTCTGCGCCAGATGGGATTCGAGTCTCAGGAAGAGCTGGATGAGCTCATGAGGCAGAGATACAAGGACGAGATCGGTGACTTCAGTCCTGAACAGGAGGCGGAACTTATACGCCGCTACCCAAAGGTGAGCCAAGTCTCGCGACCGTCCGAGGGTATGATCCGCTGACAGTGTCACTTCGTTTAGATCCGAGGGGCTCTTCAACACCGGGCGCGGTTTATTGCATCCCGTGAATCGGCTGGACAAAGGTTAGCAGGTTTCACCGAAAATTCCCTTCAGTATCTGGAGCTCACACCATGATTTCACGAGCAGGCCCTCTGACCTCGAGGACGACTTCGAGGTTTTCTAAAGACAACGAACCCGAGCGTGCAGATTCAGAAGCGTCTTGCACGACTGGCCGCTGATGGAATAATGGGGGGACTCGTCGGAGTAGGGAATGTAGCTGGGCTCAAGTGACGAGGGAGGCTTTGAAGGTTATATGGATGTGTGGGGGCTGTTCTACGCTTTTCACTTCCCGTGACCTTTGCTATTATGGTTAAACTGATGGTTCAACGTCAATATTGCGAATCATACGTAGTAGGGTGGAATTGACACTATCTCCAAGTCTTTTTTGATTCCGTTTTCCCTGCTTCCTACTGTGATGCTGGTCTTGTGGCTCCAAGTGCCGGCATGTAAGATGGATGTCAAGCTAGAGTGCTCAACGCCATGAGAGCGAGTAAGGATGTGTCCACAAAGTATGTTAAAGTATATTCTTGTTCACAAGTCGTCTCTATATTGTATTCTATAGGCAACCCAGCTTGAAAACGGGATTCGTGTTTGAGGACCAAGCTATCTAAACCACTTCGCTATCCTTTAAATTACGCAAACCACACCCCCTCCCCCAAACCCCCATTTAAACCTTGAACTTTCTAGGATCCAGCTTGTCAACATTGGCACTCTTTGCCGCTCCGTCAAACACAAACTCTGACATGAGCTTGCCCGTCCCCGGCCCGTTCTGAATGCCCCAGCATGTGTGACCCGCCGCGACGTACAGCCCCGGCACCGTCGTCCTGCCGAGCAGCGGGCCGCTCTCCTGGCCGAACCTTATGTGCCGTGGGAGATAGCAGGCCTGCTTGGCCTTGATGGGCGCTGCGGCTAGGATGGGGCTGATGGTGCCGAGGTAGGCGATGATGTCGTCGCATTGGGCTTCGTCACACTCTACCTGGTCTGCCGTCTCTGGGAGGGGGACGTTGGTATCGGGCTCGCCTGTGTGGAGTTAGAATTCAGTCGCTGCATTTCGGAGGATAAACTTACCGCAGGCATAAGCCTCGCCAAATGGTCTTGCATAGATCTCAGGATCAACACGGCCCTTGTGTCTCCTCTTCTCTCCCATCTTGGCACGATGCTCAGGGACAAAGTCCGGCGGCAGCTCGATATCTGTAAAGATGGCATAAGGGCTGACTTCAACATCGTATACGACACTGTGAGCCCGTAGACCTTCAATCTTGGCACGAGGCAGCACCTTTGATGTCCATGGCCCCGCAGCTACGACTATGTCGGTCACACCCTCAATCGTCTTCTTCTCATCCGTCTCGCGGTCCAGGTACTCGATGCTCTGGACGCCAGCCTTGGAGGAATTTACCTTTGTCACCTTGGAGTTGGTGTGTATTTTTGTGCCGGCTTGCTGAGCGAGCTCAGCGATGGCCGTTGTGAAGTGAAGAGGATGTACCTGGGCTGTCTCGGTGGCGCCAGGTGAACCCATCTCAGACCAGTTGTCGATTATGTCGTGGTCGACCCAGTCAAGATCCTTTGGTATACTGCCAGCCTCGAGAAGATCCTTTGCGGCGCCATTCTGCTTGGGAAGTTTCTCCCAGGTCTTTCCATCCTCATTAACCTGCTGCATAGCCTTGATGCGGTCCCGCGACACGACAGCGTCAAAGCTCCCGCATCCGAGACGTCGGTAGCCCCATCTCCGGGGCCCGTCGTGCTCGGCGGCTAGCTCGGCGTGCAGGCGGTACGAGAGCGGGACCAGGCATGCCGGGTAAGCCCAGAGGGCGAGGAGGCCGCCAGCCTTGCCCGAGGCGCCGGGGGCGACAGAGGGCGCGGCCTCGAGGAGGGTGACGGTGTGCAGGGCCGGGTTGAACTTGGGATGGCGGGTGAGGTAGTAGGCTGTTGTGCAGCCAATGATGCCGCCTCCTGGATTACCGTTGGTCAGCCATGATAGGTCCGTGAATGTGACAAACAATAGCAACAAGGCTGTGAGTGAGAGGGAGCTTTGGGGACAGTCATGTGGGGAACTGACCGACGACGACAATATTCCGCTTCCCGTCCATCACGACGTCTAATTGTATATGTATGTATGTACTGTACTATCGTTAATCAAAGAAGGCAAATGCCGTTCGAGCTGAGCTGTAAGCTGCCGTGCCGTTGATCAGAAACGCCGCGGCGTTCGAGCTTCGGAGGATCGGGGGATGGTGACGTATCGGGGCCGAAGGGGCGCTAGTCCGAGCTGTGCTGAAGCTCTCAGGTACGCGGGGCGGGCGGCCGACTCGATGATGCAAGCGGGGCAAGACGACGAACCATGTACCGAAGCGGGGGTCTTGACTTCGGGAGGGTGTTGAACCGTCGGGTAAACGAATTGAGAGAGAGGCATTGTTCATTTGTAAGAATAACGTGAATGGATCTTATTGATGGGTGCTTTGAATGCCTGTTATGGGAATGTTGGGTGGCTCTTGGCGTGTGCTAACGAGAGGCTATCCAAGGTTGTTACTTATCCCACGTGGAGAATCAAGCCAAGACTGACAGTAGAGCTAAACAAGCCCTCAAGACTATGGGTTCTACTGCGTAGTAGTGAGCTGATAGTAGAAGCAATACAATTCCAAATACTATCGATAGTAGAGAAACAAGACAATTCCAAATACCATCAACCCACTGACCCTCGTTCGGTACCCGGTGCAACTCAAGTTCCCGCCCGTCTCCACCTCGAATACGTCACTATTCCTAGAACAGGGCCATCTGCCGAGGCATGTGGAAGACTTCTGTCACTGTTCCGATGCCAATAGGATCACCTGGGGAGAAAAGAACTTGTCTCTGGTTATTCCTAGCTTACGTTACCTTGTACTACAGATTTGCGCTTAATCATGCCGTGGCGTGTTCCTGAGTCTCTGCCTCTGCCTTTGCCGTCACGACGTTTCATGCGCGGGCTTAATAAACCCACTATCCGAACCTCGATCTGTTCCCCACCACTTTCACCTCTCAACAACAACATCAACATCAAAAGAGCTGCATTTTTCCGTCTTGGCTATCGCAAGTTTCCATCAGCTGCTGCATTTTCCACCTCTATCCCTCGATTCCTTCCATCTTCAAACATGGCTTCCGCTACCAGCTTCTACGACTTTAAGCCGCTTGACAGTACGTATTCCCCCGCTCATATTCCCCCACCTCACGGAATATGTACCAAAAGTCACACAATACTAACATCACCACAGAGCGCGGCCAAGAGGTTCCCCTGGCCGACTACAAGGGCAAGGTCGTCCTCATCGTCAACACTGCCTCCAAGTGCGGCTTCACCCCTCAGTACGAGGGCCTGGAGAAGCTCTGGACCGACCTCAAGCAGAAGCACCCTGATGACTTTGTCATCCTCGGCTTCCCCTGCAACCAGTTCGGCGGCCAGGAGCCCGGGTCCGACGAGGAGATTCAGAGCTTCTGCCAGATCAACTACGGCGTCAGCTTCCCCATCATGCAAAAGACCGAGGTCAACGGCGACGGCACCAACCCTCTCTGGGCCTGGCTCAAGGAGCAGCAGCCCGGTCTTCTGGGTCTCAAGCGCGTCAAGTGGAACTTTGAAAAGTTCCTCGTCGGACGAGACGGAAAGGTCAAGGGCCGCTGGGCTAGCACCACCAAGCCCGAGTCCCTCGAGAAGCCCATCCTCGAGGCTCTCGCTGAGGAGGTCAAGGCTTGAATGGTTTGATTGAAAGATATGGTTTTTATGTGTCCCTAGACTCCCCTCGCTTGATATGAGATACCCAACCGAGAAAAGGGGCGTGGATGAGAGCATCTTTGGCGGAGCATAATGGAGGCTCCAAATGAGTTCATCTGCTTAATGAAAGAATTTGCATGATCAACTTTTCGTCCTTGTTCTTGTGATCTGTAGTAGATAAACTCATGAGTGTGATTCATGTCCGCTCAACCGTCCATTGTGAATATGTGCATGGATGGAGCTCAAATTCACTAAATACACCCAGCTGAGTAACAAAGATGCCATTGTCTTCTCGTCGTCAAAAGATGACAGTCAGCTTGAGACTAGAGATCATAGGCTGTGTCATGAGAAGACGGCCATGTTATCTCATGAGTAGAGACGCCCTGTCTAAACAAATCGATTCCTTGGTCTGACTTCTACAATCTGTACTTCTATAAGCTCCATTCAGATTAGTAGATTGATAGCTTGCATTATTATCATACCAGTATCGGGAATCCCGACTAATAGTACATTACATGGCTATTCATAGGCTCAACTCTGATCTATAAGACACCTTTTCCACCCCCATACTCACGTGTCTCACAGAGTTTCGTAGTAATATCTCGTCGCAACATCGTACTCCAGCAACACCTCAGCCTCCATGTGTTCAACCTTTGCTACGACCTGCTGCCAAAGGTACACCTCAAACGCACCAGGCATAACACCCGGCACCACTGAAGCACATCTGCAGCTCGTCTCATCCTCGGCAGATAGGATTGTCACCAAGTTGCGACCGGGAAGACGATAGAAGCCTGGCGTATCATCGGGAGGGTTCCAACTAACCACCATACCTGGACGGATGCGCTCTTTGAAGGGGACTTGAGACATCTCAGGTCGCGGATCTCGACTGGAAAGGCCGTGCTGACCAGGTTTGTCTGAAGGGGCTTCGCCGTCGGTGTCTTTCTGTTCAGCCTTTGGCTTCACATTGCTTGGTCTCTGAGAGTCAACACGTAGTCGCCAGAATTTGGACTGGAAAGCAGCAGCTTGCTCCATCGTCACACCCTGCGTCTTGAGACAGCGAGTGATGAACTCGGGAACTGGAAGGCGAAGTAGCTGCTTTCCTGTTTCTTGGGGGGCAAGGATCTCTGCTGAAACTGGGGGCGTTCCGGACTGTCGGAGTTGTCAGTCACTACTAGTCATCAAAGAATTGTGGGTTGAGATCTCATACGTTCTTTCCAATCCACTCCTGAAGCTGCTCGTGAGACCAAGTACTTGGCTTTGCAACTTCATACTTGGGTGCTACAGCCTTGGGCACCGGAACCCTCAACATCTCTCCATACCGCAAGGTATTCTTGCTGGCACCCACATCCAGGAAGCTTGGGTTGACGCAGGCTACAACAACAGTCTTACAACTGCGCTCTGCGGCAGGATCAAAGACGTGCTTAAGAACTTTAGTCAAAGCACTCTGTCGGAAAGGCACGTACAACTTCTTTCCTGGTGCAGCTGTACCAGCATCTATGCTTGCCCTGCCGCGAATACAGTCCTTGAGAACAGAGAGACTGGCATTGATCTCTCGTGCCTCCTTCATGCGCTCGGCTGAGTGAGCAGTGACATCTCGAGCAGCCTCGGAACCAGCGAGATCAATGAGATACAACAGTCCGTCATCCGCCTGAGGGAGCCTAGGGTTCTCGAGTCGAATCTTGCATATAGCGTGAGAGCGGGACGAAGAGTCGTTCTTCTGCGTAGATGCAGTGCGTCGAAAAGAAGCTGCATTGTTGATATGCTTTAGCAGTGTCGCCGCGTCTGTGACGTTGTACTCGGAGGCTCCAGCGAGATGAGTTGAACCAAACGAGTCCTCGAGGATGGACACGGGCTTGCGCAGGTTGAGGAGGTCAAAGGCCGAGTTTCCGGCCAGCTCGATGATGGAGATGAAGATGCTCCGGCTACCGTCAACCTCATCTGAGAACAAGGTCTCGGCAGTGAGGCGTTCAAGTCCGCTGACGGTATAAGTCTTGCCCGAACCCGTCTGGCCATAGGCAAACATGGTGCTAACACCGCCACCCCATGCCCAAGGCACAAGAGGCTTGACGAGTTCCTTGTAGATGGCTTCGGTGGTATCATCAGAGCCAAAGACCCGATCAACTCGAAAGCTAAAAGACTGTTCGTCGTTAGGATATTCCGCCAGTGTCAAAGACATACTCACAGCCAATCCAGGGGCTCCCCTGAAAGTCCTCCGTAGTTCGTGCAAGTCGACAGTACCGGCAGGTTGAGCTCGTGGAAAGACACCAGTCAACAGTCCAGCTTCCTTCTCGTACTCTAGCATGGGTCGGAGGCGAGTAGCAATAGTGATAGCAGGGTTAGGCTCTTCGGTAACGGGCTTGCCCTTGGTCGGGGCTGGCTTGAAGCGATCCACAAGCACCTGATATCGCAGAGCATTCTCAAGGGTGAACTGGTCCATGATTGCGCAGGTTCAAGTAACGAGATGAAAAAGAGAATGTTTCCGAATGCATGTGGTACTGAATTTTGAGTTTTTGGATAGTATGACCTCAATCAAAGGCCATGGCTGTTCAAATACTCGGTGTAAATGGTGATGCCTAATCCAAGCTGAAGTCGACCCTCGTGTTGTGGCGCGCTGGCCCAGCAACTACTAACAGTGACACGCCAGGTATTACGAGCTGCCCGAAATTTAAATTTCTCAAGTCCAATATCAGGTCATGCAGGAAAGGGTATTAATATGATTATTCCGTCTATTTTCGAACGAGTGGTAATGAATCGTAATGTGCGCTTTGCGTTGTGATGAACTTCACTTACTTACCCCTAGCCACACGCATATGCTTTCATGACAAACAATTCCAATACCAAACAATCAGCATAAACAATGAAGTTTTACATAATCTTGTGTTACTAATCTTCATTCCAACCACGTTCAATGTGAGTATTCACCTTGTGCAATTGAGAAAGTCATGTCTAAGCGTCGATCCACACGAGAAAGAGCTACAGCTTTCAGACACCCGGAACTGAGTTCACAAACTCAAGGCAGCAAGTTTGAAGACCTCATTTCCCTTGATAGTCAATTTAATCTAATATACGAAAAGCCTCTTGTGGCCATTGTCTCAAGTATTAAACGTGCTGCCTGGTTTCCCCTGTCTTGAGTAACAGCCTCTAGGGTGGATCACGAGTAGGCAGCTCTTTTGGGTCCCGGTCTCGATCAACTCTTGATCCCGTTCGGGGATGTTTATTCTTTGGGGCTGAAAAATAAGTTAATAGGTAAAATTTGGCAAGACTATCAGAGTGTGTACTCGCTTGATTTATCTTATACTTCTTTCCTGGCTCAATCGTTGAGTTATGTGTTGATGGCAATCCCAACTGCGAATCACACATCAACATACTGAATAACTTCAGGGAACCATTAATTCACATCTCATACATTCCAAAACTTGCCGAAACTATACAGAAAGTACCATCTCTTTTAATATTTCTCTGAAAACTCCTATCGCCCTCCTCAGCAGTCCTTGGCAACAGTTCTCGTAGGCCGTAGACAATCTCCGATCGATTCCTAGTTTTCAACCCACTGGAAGGGTACAACTAATCACGAGCAAGCTGTTGTAGAATTCATTCTTTTATTTTGAACTGTGTGTAAAAATCTGAACAATAAGTTCATGGTCGTTGAGATGACGGCCTGCAAGGAGTTGGACATGTCAACTTTACGCTCTGCCAAATCGACTGTGTTGGAAAGACAGCTTATATTTTATGTAACAGCAGGATAGATGATGTTTTATATATATAATGAACCGAATATCCAAGCACTGACTTCATGGGCTAAATAAATCAGCTTGACACGGCGAGTTCCCTATCCTTCCTATGAGCCATCGTCGTTGACTTTCACAATAACCTCGACGAAAGCTGAAAATGCCGGTTTCAATCCACTTCTACTTGCATCTCGAACATGCATGTACCTGTTTTGATCACACGGTTTAGCTGGTGGGCGTGAGTTGCAAGAATGTTTTGAGGTCACGGCTGACTTCAGCTGCCAAGTCCTCACTCACATCTTACTGTGTCAAATAACCAGAAACTTCGTCTCCAATGACTAAAATGCAAGTTGACAAAAGATGTAGTTTATACAATTCGCTGCTGCTTACAAGACATGTAAGCCCAATGAGCGGTTGATTCCCCCTAATCCGGCGAGGGTCATCGAGACACTGTGTGTCTCAGTAAGCCGGACATGGAGACAGGAACGGCAATGCAACCGGTATAAGCCACGGCAGCTGACTGCCATCTCACGGGCCGGGAGAAGAAGCTTTTGGTGAGATGCTTATCAACATCCCAGAGGAGATCTTGCGATTGGTAATGTGCAAGGCAGGATATTCTTTCTTTGCGTTGCAGGGAGCTGAGATGTTTGGTGAAGAGATAAGAGGAAATATGTGTAATGAAAACTTGCCCCCAACAGCCAAGTTCTTATCATTTCGAGAAGAGAAATGATCAATGCGTCGTGACGTGTTATTCATCATAGAAACCCCAGCATCAAGGCTGACCTCGATCAACTCGATCAGGACATGTCGAGCCCATCATTGCCAAGTCATGACCGCCTTTGCTCGGCGTTCATCTCAACCAAACCAAACCACGCCACGCCACTCAAACGACGTCGATATCATGAGCATCATCGCTCGCTTCTCCCCAGCCTCGATTGGCGATGGCCTAGCAGCCATTTGGGCTAGAAACAAGCACGATCCGCGCACCGACTGCCGATCACCCTTCAGGGAAGCGGAACCCTTTCCGCCGTCAATCTTATCAGAACCCCCCTCCCAACACAAAAAAGTCAAGTCCTCTGTCGTGCAGCGCGTGCATCAGTGCAGCGCCCTCTGTTCTTCCCCGGATTTCCAGAAGCCTGCAATGCCACCCTCCCGCTAACACCCCCATGAAGAACGCGCACCGAGGCAAATCATCCATTTAAAGCGGGAGCCAAAAAATCAAGCTCGGATCGTCGGCCTTAGACTCACCAGCCACTTGGGGCCGGTCGACAGCCACCCAATTCTCCAAGTTGTCAAGGTTTTCAACTCTCACGGCTACCGGCCCTTTGTCGGTTCACCACAAGGAGATATTACGTACAATGTGCCAGGTAAAGGGGGGAGTGAGCTCCTAAATGTCATCGCCAGTAAGCCATGAT